TAATAGTGAATTCCAACTTATACATTGTTAATAACATAATTTTATATACGTGCCTATCTTGCCCCATTACTGTTGCCCCTATACCAGGGGCAACTTTAATAAAAATAATTAAAATAATTACAACTTTACAAAAAGAGAGAAGTTGCCGATCTTGCCCCTATACCCGGGGCAACTTCGTCAATTTCTCTCTTCTTGTAAAGTTGTAATTATTTTAATTATTTTTATTTCCAAACTGATTTTAACCAGTTCTATAGTAAGGTAACATTCCAATAGACAATATGCAAAGCTTTTTTTTTCAGTTTACAGCAGTATTTATTACACAAAATTTAAGTAAAGCTTAACATGCCGATCTTGCCCCGGTCTCTCCTATATAGATTAATTTTGATAAATTTTAAAATATTTAAAAATAAATGCTTTATTTAGCCATGTCCTTCGAGACCGGTATAGGTTTTTCTCGTATATACCGCTACATTGCATTTACACAGATAGACGTAATTAAATTCTGCATTTTGTTGCCTTTATTTGGTTTCGGGGTTTCGGGATAGAGATGAAGCGCAAGACCAATCGTAAAACATTATTAAAACCATTGACGTGAGACTTAGTTATGTTTTCAAAGTTTCAGCTTTTTATCTTAATCAGAAGTAAATAAAATTATCACTAAGAAAAATTATGGTTCATGCACCGTGTGGAGCCTTCTGGACCGTCGAGAGAAAGGGAACTAGAGATTTTTAAACATAAAATCTTTAAGTCTATTTTTATTAATTTATTAATTAATTATTTTTCTAAATATCCTAAATATTTTATTTGTTCAAAACAAAAATAGTGGCAAAAAAACCCAGCTAATTGGCAAATGAAGGCCGCTCTGAGGCTCTCGAAGGGGCCTTGGGTGCCTTCATTATTACGCAGCGCTTACTTATATAACCTAATAATAGATTAGACTTAAATTATCACAAAGTGTGAAGGAGAAGAAATCCGAATATTCAGGTTTCAAGGTAGCCTATATCTTTTGCATGATTAAATTTGGTTCAGATTTGTCAATGGATGCAGAATGGTAGAAGAAACAGACTGATAGACAAATATTGTTTATATATATATATAAATTTATCATTTAATCTAAATTATTAATTCAAATTAAGCATCTAGACACGCCATGCTAATATTGTCAAAATCTATTAATTCATTAATAGATTTTGATAATATTTGCAGGTATTTATACACAGTACAGGTTAATTGATAGAGGAAAAATTTCAAAAAAATTCATATAGTACTATATTTTTATAAAAATATTTTAAAAATATAATAATAATAATTACCATTATGATTTTCAACATTTCCTCTTAGAGAAGTATAAAAAAGCAAATATTATTGATTGTTCTCTCTGAGCAAATACAAATAATACAGAGTAAATTACTTCCTGTACTTTAATCAAACTTTTTTAAATGAATTAATGAAATATTTTTTCTAAATTAATTACACGTTTACATTTGATTAATACAATATGTAAAATACTAAAACTATATCTAACTTAATATTTAAAACAACAAGGATTTATATATATAAATTTGTTATAAATACAAAAGTTACATAACATGTCTATATATTATATATATATATAATATATAATATAACTTTATATCTCTGCAAAAATCTATAATTTTCAACAAACATTTACCGAAAAATTGTTTATATTCTAAACGAACAATTTGAAGGACAAAACGTGGTAAGTGTTGTTCATTGTCACATGTTTGAAGAAATATAAATTACAGTATTAATTATTTCACTAATTGAAGGATTTCATATAAGTGATAAAACGCTTTCTTTATTACTAAAACAGAAAGTATTAATCTAAAATAAGATAATAAATAAATAAATGGGCAATTATTTAGTGTGACACTGTCACAATTTCGGGCTGCAATTTTTAATCACATTTTTAAAAGTGGAAGTGTTTGTCACTATATTGCGCTCTGCAGCCAAAACTACACATCGCACACGAGTGGTGTTGGTAATAGCCCCAAGTCTCCCATCGTACACTC